AAGGAGCACTTAGGATAAAATGATTAGTTTCATCAATTTAGACCTATTTTCTTAAACAAATAGAAGTGGTAGAATAGCTTTGTCTGTTCAGATTGGAAGACCTTTTTATAACTGGAAACGAGGACTATTTAGATACCATCGGTTCTTCTTTAAGGGGGCAAATCGCTCCATTTCACATGGTTAACATTCATCACACTTACCACAGCACCAAACAAGTTTCTTGCCTCCCACTGCCAGATAGGCAAAATTTGCCTACTTTTAGTGCCCCTACCCTATAAAAACCTTTAGTTTTATGCATTGTAATAAGAATATTATTTTTTTAATATGCTAGTACTTTATTATACAATAGAAGATTACATTTGTAAAATCATAGTCCATGATTTATGACAATTGGAAAAAAAACATTTGTATTTATATAATAAAGGAAATTTAACCTTTAATGGGAAGGAAGAATGTAGGGTAGCAAACCCGTCTCCGCCTGACAGAGCAGGTCCGCCCTCAAGGTTATACGCAAATAAACCAGCCCACACAGGTTGTTTTTGCATTTTGGGGTATATATATAAGTGAATGTCTCCTCCTGAAAGCAACTTCTGGACCATCAGGGTAAGTATAAATGATGTAAAACTCACTATGCTACACGTACAAATTGCCCAATTTCACAAAGATACATACTGTATAGAAAAAGCTACACAGATATGCCACAATAAGCATTTAGGGTTCAGAAGAAAGAAGGTAGCTGAGGCTAAGACAGATGGTATTGTGAAAAATAAATGTTACAGATACAAGGACGAAACACTTTGCACTTAAAAATATATATATAAAGAGGGGAAAAAAAAGTCCCTTAATTTGAAATAAAATTACATGTTGTAGTATTCCATTTTTAAAAATTTGGGTCAATCTAACAAGGACAAGGGCATTGAATTTAGTGCCATATTGTTCAGTGTATTTAAGTCCAGACAGAGGCTCCAGGTCATGTGAATATGTATATTACTACAGTAATTTCATTTCAAAGGTAGCTTAAAAAAAAAAGAAAGAATATAGACCGACTACTGTAACTTAAAACCAAACACCTTTCTACAATCAAGACACTATGTAAAATCATTCTTTCTACTTAAATCCTATTGTGAGCCTAATATTAATTATGTATTAGGTTAGATTTTATAATATATTTTGTTTTATTGTAACATTAATAGACTTTTAGATGGATCTGGATAATCTAATTTATTGGCTTGTTATATTAGCAGGATATTCAGTTCAAGTAATCTGAAATATAGAGGCTGTTACATCATACTCTTTTAATCAACAGGGCTTGAGTTCTTATCAGCGCATTTTGCATTATGATGGAAGACATTGATTAAGTTGTGCCTAATGGATTATCAGATATTATCTTCTGTCCAATTTGTAAAGAATTAGGTTAATAATTTTCCGATCTTAAGGTCCAGAAAATTTAGTTTCTTTAATAGGGCATGATTTATTACTCGTACAATGATTAGTTTGATATGGCATACGGCAATTAAATTTAGGAAGGTTGTGTGGTCACCTGGGAGAGAACAGACTCTCAGAACGAATACAGCCCAAGAAGAATATTTCCCAGTCAGCACTTTTGCTGTTATAAAATGAATGCATTTGTAGAAAAAAAACAATCAACTAAATTTAGAGAAAAATAGTTTTGCTAAAAGCTATCTAGTGATATATATTTATATATTCAAATCTGTAAGGATTTCAGAGCAAATAATTAAAGGCATGTAATGGAATGATAAATATAATATAAAAAAGCCACAGGCTTCTTGCTGGATAGGTAGTAGACTCGATGAATATGGCACGCTTAGAAAATAAAAAGAATATTTAAAGGCCTCATTACAGAAAAAAATTCTCAAACTATGAGACATGGTATCTCCTTTCAAAAGAGTATATATGAAAATACCCTTGAATTATATGTAAATAAATTTGGAATTTTAAAAACAGGAGCTATAATGAATCTCTTAGGTCTGCAAAGATTTTAATCTGCATTTAATATCAGTTATAGCTTTTTTCTCAATTACTTTCTTTTCTCCTTAATCCTACCTCATTTCTTCTAAAATTACCTCTGCATTATTGCTTTAAAAAAATAAGAAGTTTCCTTATATATTGCAGCAGTTCCATCCTGTAGTTCTTTTTAACCAAATAATTCATTAGATCTACTCTTGGCACATTCTTTTACATCATGAGCACAACCGTTCACCATTGGAGTACCCGTGAACACAGGAAAATATAGCACTGGCCATGTTAAATATAACCAATCTCATAAATATCAAAGATATAAGTTGCACATGTTGTGTTCAGACGTTCACCGACGAGGCCAGACCCCACGCCCAGGTGGCCGGTCTCCCACAGACCAATCGTTTGGGCAATTCAGTCTTACTTTGCATCTGCAGGTTTCTCACAAGGTTAATTATGATTAGAGCAGAGGGAGAATTAAGCAGAGCACAAGTTTCTGTGTCTATACATACGAATTTTAATTGGAATTATTTTTTCTAACTCAGAATTTTTTCAGTCATGGAAGAACAGGAAATGCAATATGCCACGAGCCCCTCGGCACCCTGGGGACGCCCGTGGCCTGGGACAGGCCTCCCTGCCGTTGCCAAAGTGCCGGCCGCCTCGGAGGTGGGGGGCGCTGGGAGGCTTAGTGGGATGCATGTTGCTGGATTTAATTGAAAACGAGAAAGTAACAGCTTATAAAAAGACCCTTTTCCTGACGGTGAATACCTTTTTTGATGTCTGTATTTTCCAAGAGTGAAAACTGGTTTTGTTGAAGCTCATGACTAAATTCTCAGTATGTTTTCTGGGCGTTTCCTGTTTGTATCAAAGCATTAAAAAAAAAAAAAATGGAAAAAGAAGTTTCCCTGTGGAATGGGCAACTACCCCAAACAATCGATCTCATCCTAAACATCTGAACAGTGTGAGCAACCTCAGCTGCATTTGGGTAAATGCATCAAACATACAGAAATGCATAAAACTTAATCGTGTCGTTTACAGCGTGGCTGCTCAGCGGCGAATTGCATTGGAAAACATGTCAGAAATATAAGGGAGCCCCCTCCGCAATCTGTCCCCTCCCCCAGCTCCTCTGCACGAAACTGGAACCGACCCTGCGTAGCCCGAGCAGAGCCAGGCCTGGCGGGGACCAGGGCCAGAGCGTCTCGTGGTTCTGACCGCGGCCTGAGTAGCGCTGGCTGCAGGGCGCCCACCGGGGACCCGCACGACTGGGATGGTGACCACGGAGCATGGGCAGCAGCGAAGCCGTGGTGGGGAGGGCATCGCCCATTGGCAGGAAGCCGGGAGGGACCCGGCAGAGAGGACTCTGGGCGCAGTGGTGTGGGCAGTGCTAGTGGCGATGTCTTGTCCTAGAACACACATTCCCCGCATCACGTGGCGTTCTCGCCACGGGGTCTAGACTCGCCAGTGAAGCCGCAGAGGAGCTCCCGTCCCCACACTCGCAGGACTGGATGAGCCGAGCACGACGGTTGCCGCTCCCCTGCCCCAGCACAGGAAGGCTGCCTGGTAGCTGCAAAGTCCCCAGCCGGTGACTTCCCCCGCCAGCCTGCTCCCCTCCCTGCAGCCCTTCCAAGTTTTGGGATCCTTAAGCCAGAGACAGGCCCAGGGCCTGGAGAGCAAGGGGCTGCTGTGCATGTCTGGCCTTAGATTGTGTTTTCGTGTCCAGCTCAGACGTTGGGAGAGCCACCTGCCAACTCCAGCTGCCTGGAAACCCTGTGTGCGCGGGTCATTGTGGCCACGTTTGTGACTTTTGGACAATTGGGGACGGCTGTCTCTCTTTAGCTGGAAATAGATTGATGGCTCATTTGTAGAACAACATTTGAAGACCATAACTCTAGTAGTTAAATATTTTGTGTGGGTTCGTACACAAAACCTAGGCCAGCACGTTAGGTCTCGTAAGGTTGAATCCAGATGAGCTTATTGCAGCTGACTATAAATCTGAAAATTCTTTCCTGATGCAAAGATGCAGTGGATGCTTACCCATCCAGATTTCTATCGCTATGGTAACAGCTAGCATTTGCTGGGGCCCACCAGGGTAGGCCAGGTATGTTTTAAGCACTTCACAGGTAGCAAATCTTATAACCCCTAGTGCAGTCCTAACACCCGCGTGTAGCACCTTTCTGAATTTCATGGATGAGGAGCGAAGGGACGGGCCCCGTGTCCTGCAGATGGGCAGGGCGCGGGGCCTCCCCCAGCCCTCCCCACTCCGTGCTGCCCCTCAGCGCTGCCACCGCTGGGCAAGACACGTTTTGGAGGGGCGTCACTGACACCTACCCAGGTGCCGTGTGGAGCCAGGTGCATATCCAGGGACGAAGCGACAGTCAAGTGACGCCCGTCGAAATCCCACATGGCAGGGTGTAGTTTTAGACCAGAATTGATTCATGTAATTCCAGTGAGCTTCAGGGGGATTAGGTTTCCTGGGGAAAGCCATCACACGACTTTGTGTCCTCGAATTCCTGGCCCCCTGAAAACGCTATGCCTTAGAGGACAGCTGCCCAGATCTGTCAGGGGCCCTTCCTTTGTGTCTCTGCCCCAGGCACGAGCCTTGGGGGTTTCTGCAGGTCTCCCCGGCACAAGTCTGCGGCTTGACGGCCACGCCCACGGCCGCCGGGACAGAGAAACACCTCCACTGTGCCAGGCCGACGGTGGGGAGCCGCAACAGAAAGCCCCCCCGACCCGAGCTGCAAACACAAACAGTGCCCATCAAGCAGAAATTGCCTCGGCACGCGGGTCACTGGTGACTTCATTTGTAAGTAATGTTTTGATTGTCACAGATTATATGTTGCGCTCCTGCCCTGACATTTGTTGTACAGCAGGATTGATTTTTGTGCTCCAGTATGAAAAGGTCACGTTGATCAATGCGGTGTAATTGGCACTAAATTAGGATCATATCAGGTTATTTTGCTATTTAATGATAAAATATTAAAGAAAGGCATCGGCAGATCGGGGGCACTCACGTGCACTTTAAGCCTGCTGCAAGGATGCTTTATTTTGTGAGAAAAATGGAGAGGAAAACAGCCGATGTGGCCATAATGACTGTGATGTATGGGGAGGGCGGCCCAGAATTATATATTTTCATTTGGGGTGGGAGGAAAGCCCCAGACACAGAACACCAGGCGCAGCGGTCAGTCCTACCCTGCTGCACGGAGGAGGACTGTGCTCATTATGCGCTAGTTAGAAGGGCTAAGCCTTCCCGTTCTGCATATGGCAATTATGCTCGGAGACATTTGTGTGCCCGCATCCACTTATTAGACAAACCTCAGCTTTTGAAAATCTGCAACTTGGTGGTGGTTTCCCGGGTGCCGACGCCTTTCCGCCTCCGGACCCGATTCTGAGGCCCCGCCTGGTTCTCTGGGTTCGCACCTAAAGTAATTAACAGCGTCACGAGGAGTGTTAAATACTGTGTGTTGTTTTCTCCATTGTAAATAGACGTGTTCCCCCATTATTCTGAAATGTGGCTGAGCAGGAAAAAGCTGCATAGATTATACTTTTAAATGCGACTAATGTCGCAGGAAATTGTTCGGGTGCTTTGCCGCCGTTAAGTATATTATCAAGCTGCAGCGAGAACTTAAACGGCTACTAAAAGATGTTAACCTTTTTAGCAGCTGGAAATATGGTGCCACAAATATTGATGGAATAATACCGAGCATGGCGCAGCGAGAAAAGGAGGGAGGGGGCGGGGGCACAGCAGAGGCGGCAGCAGCAGGAGGACACCCCTGGGACCCCGAGGGGCGCAGGGCAGGGGCAGCTCCAGCCGGGCTCTGAAGGCCGCTGACTGTTCTCCAAGGAGCTGTGGAACAATAGCTTGAATGTCCGTGTCTAGCTTCAAGGACAAAAAAAAAAAATTTAAAAATGAGGATATTGTATAGATAGTGTTTTGCAGTAACATTTGGTGTCCAACTGCTTCCGCCCCTTTCCTCCAGAAATGCAAATGACAGCAGTTATTTGGGAATCAGGAAAATGCTCTTTTTTGGCAGTAGAGTTTGTTGTGGGTTAAACTGCACCCCAAGAAATGTTCAAGTTCTAACCCCTGGAACCTGTGCGTGTGACCTTATTGGTAAATATAGGCACACCTAGGAGATCCTGTGGGTTCGGTTCCAGCAGACACAATAAAGCAAATATCTCAATTAAGCGAGTCACACAGACTGTTTTGGTTTCCCAGTGTATGTAAAAGTCATGTTTACACTATACTGTAGTCTGTTAAATGTGCAATAACTTTGTGTTTAAAAAACCCAATGTGCATACCTTAATAATGCTTTGTTGCTAAAATATGTTAACAATTATCTGAGCTTCCAGTGAGTCATAATCTTCCTGCTGGTGGAGGGTGTTGCCTCCACGTTGCTGGTGCTGACTGACCCGGGCGGGGTTGCCGAAGGTGGGGGCGGTTGCTGCAGTTTCTTAAAATAAGACGACCGTGAAGTTTGCTGCATTGACAGACTTTTCCTTTCATGAAAGATTTCTCTGTAGCACAGGAGCCTGTAGGACTGTGTTTAAAATTGGAGTCAGTCTCCTCGAACCCTGCCCTGCTCTATCAACTAAGTTTATGGAACATTCTAAATCCTTTGTTGTCATTTCAACAGTGTTCACGGCATCTTCACCAGGAGCAGATTCCATCTCAAGAAACCACTTTCTCTGCTCATCCATAAGAAGCAACTGCTCAGCCATTCAAGTTTTATCCAGAGATTGCAGCAATTCAGTCACATCTTCAGGCTCCACTCCTAATTCTAGTCCTCTTGCTGTTTCCACCACATCTGCAGTGACTTCCTCCACTGAAGTCATGAAGCCCTCGAAGTCATCCATAAGGACTGGAATCAACTTCTTCCAAACTCCTGTGAATGTTGGCATTTTGACCTCCTATGAATAACAGATGTTCTTAATGGCACCTAGCATGGTGAGTCCTTTCCAGAAGGTTTTCAATTTACTTTGCCCACATCCAACAGAGGAATCACTGTCTATGGCAGCTCTATCCTTATTAAATGTCTTTCTCAAACAGTAAGACTTGAAAGTTGAAATTACTCTTGGTCTGTGGGCTGCAGGTTGGGTGCCATGTCTGCAGACATGAAAACAATAATCTCCTTGTATGTCTCCACCACAGCTCTTGGGTGACCAGGAGCATGGTCAATAAGCAGGAATATTTGAAAGGAATCTCTGTTGCTGTGCAGGTCTCAACAGTGTGCATAAGAGATTCAGCAAACCATGCTGTAAACAGAGGAGCTGTCATCCAGGCTTTGCTGTTCCATTTCTAGAGCACAGGCAGAGTAGATTTAGGGTAATTCTTAAGGGCCCTGGGATGTTCAGAATGGTGAATGAGCATTGGCTTCAACTTAAAGTCACGGCTGCACTAACCCCTAACAAGAGCGTCAGCCTGGCCTTGGAAGCTCTGAAGCCAGGCATCGACTTCTCCTCTCCAGCTGTGACAGTCCTAGATGGATCTTCTTCCACGATGAGGCTGTTGCGTCCACATTACAAGTTTGTTGTTCAGTGTAGCCACCTTCGTCAGTGATCTCAGCTGGATCTTCTGGATACCTTGCTGCCGCACCTTGCACTTTCATGTCGTGCAGACGGCTTCTTTCCTTAAACCTCACGAACCAACCTCGCTAGCAACAAACTTTTCTCCTCCAGCTTCCTCACCTCTCTCGGCCTTCACATAATTGAAGGGACTTGCTTAGGGACTTGCTCTGGATTACGTTTTGACTTAAGAGAATGTGGTGGGTGGTTTGCTCTTCTGTACAGACCACTCTAAACTTTCTCCACATCAGCAATGAGCTCAGGGCACAGGGAGGCCCCAGGGAAGGGAGAGGGAATGGCTGGATGGTGGAGCAGTCAGAACACACATGACATGTGTTAAGTTCAACATCTTTTGTGGGTGCAGTTCATAGTACTTAACAACAAACATGATAGTGACATCAAAGATCACTGACCACAGGTCCCCCGAAGAGATACAGTAATAATGAAAACGTTTGAAATATTGCCATAGTTACCAAAATGTGACACAAAGACACCGAGTGAGCACATGCTGTTGGAAAAATGCCGCTGGTGGACTTGCTCGAGGATGGGTTGCCCAAAACCTTCAATGCTTAAAAACCGGGTATCCATTTAGCACAACAAAGCAAAGTGCAGCGGAACAATGCCTGGCTGCTGGATCTCTGCAGACGTGCTCACGTAAAGATGAGGTTCCCCTCGATGAGTGTCCTTGTGAGGGAGAGGACAGGAGGCGTGGCACAGAGAATCAGGGGACACAGAGACGGCCGCAGTGGAACGAGTTGCGGCTGCTGGATCTCTGCAGACGTGCTCACGTAAAGATGAGGTTCCCTCGATGAGTGTCCTTGTGAGGGAGAGGCAGGGGCGTGTGCACAGAGAATCAGGGGAGACACAGAGACGGCCGCAGGTGGAACGATGCCTGGCTGCTGATCTCTGCAGACGTGCTCACGTAAAGATGAGGTTCCCCTGATGAGTGCCTTGTGAGGGAGAGGCAGGGAGGTGTGGCACAGAGAATCAGGGAGACACAGAGACGGCCGCAGTGGAACGATGCCTGGCTGCTGGATCTCTGCAGACGTGCTCACGTAAAGATGAGGTTCCCTGGATGAGTGTCCTTGTGAGGGAGAGGGCAGGGAGCGTGGGGCACAGAGAATCAGGGGAGACACAGAGACGGCCGCAGTGGAACGATGCCTGGCTGCTGGATCTCTGCAGACGTGCTCACGTAAAGATGAGGTTCCCCTCGATGAGTGTCCTTGTGAGGGAGAGGACAGGGAGCGTGGGGCACAGAGAATCAGGGGAGACACAGAGACGGCCGCAGAGGAGGGAGGCAGGGAAGAGCACGGGGATCCGCAAGCCGCAGAGCGCCGAGGATCGCCGCACCCAGCTTCCGGGAAGGATCCTCCCCTGGACCTCTCGGAGGGAGCTAGTCCCTGTGGGCACCTTGACTTTGAACTTCTCCCCTCCAGAATGTTGACTCAAGCCACCTAGTTTGTGGCGCTTTGCTACGGCAGCCCAGGAAGCTAATGCAATCTCACACGTGTTTTATTTACAAGAGGATCAGGGCTATCACATTTCCCCCAAGTCCAGTTTTTGAAGCCGCCCCGTTTCTTCCACCACACTCATCTTGGGTTGCTGCTTGGTGCGGCGGGAATACGGCGGAAACGTCCTTGGGTTGCCTGTCCGAGGCACAGAGCGCCTAGTGGTGGTGGCCTCACGGGTCTCTGCGAGACTCGCTCCTCCGCTGTCCGCGCGTGTTTATGAGCCTGCTACGGGCCAGGTGTTGCGTTCCCGCCGACGGGGCGTACGCAGCAAGGGGCTCCTGCAAGCGTGTACAGGAACGAAGGGGAACGGGCGCAACGCAACGCGACGTGATGCGTGTTCGCGGGTCACCGGGTGGGAGCCAGGACGGCCGTGTGGCGGGGCGCGCGGCCCGGGCTCTTGGAACACGCCAGGCCCCAGAGTCTCCAGGCGCGAGCGTTTGCGCACTCGCAGGCGCTTGCCCGCCGGTGGGCCACCGGGCTGGATTTGGCAGAAGGCGAAGGGAGCCGCCCGGGACGCGCTCGCGAAGGCTTGGCGAACGGTGAGGCGGCCTCACGTCGCGCGTGGCCGGAGGAGGCGCGGCGTCGGTCCCGCGGACGGTCACGGCAGATCGGAAGGCCGTGGGGCCTGGAAGGAGTCACCGTGTGTGGGACAGGTGTGGACAGGGCCGTCACCCCAGCAATGTCCCGCCGATCCAGCGGCAGGCGGAGGCCGGCAGGCCGGACAGAGCGGCGCCGCAGCCCAGGAAGCGCCGGTGTTGGCGGGGCGCTCGCGTCAGCGTGGCGCTCGCGTCAGCGGGCGTCCGTCAGCGTGGGGCTGGCGTCAGCCGTGGGCTCGCGTCAGCGTGGGGCCCGGCCAGGCAGTGGGCGCTCGCGTCAGCGTGGGGGCTCGCGTCAGCGTGGGGGCTCGCGTCAGCGTGGGGGCTGGCGGTCAGCGTGGGCCTGCCGGCAGCGTGGGCTCGGTCGCGTGGGCTCGGTTCGCGTGGGCTCGCGTCACGTTGGGCCTCCGGTCAGCGTGGGGCCTCCGGTCAGCGTGGCGCTCGCGTCAGCGTGGGGCTCGCGTCAGCGTGGGCTGGCGTCAGCGCTGGCTCCGGTCAGCGTGGGGCTCGCGTCCAGCGTGGGCTCCGGTCAGCGCGTGGGGCTCCGTCAATGTGGGGCTCGGTCAGCGTGTCGTAGGGCCTCCCGTCAGCGTGGGGCTCCGTCAGCGTGGGGCTCCGGTAGCGTGGGGCTCGGTCAGCGTGGCTCACGTCAGCTGTGGCGGCTCGCGTCAGTCGTGCTCCGGTCAGCGTGGGGCTCGCGTCAGCGTGGGGCCGGTCAGCGTGGGGCCTCCGGTCAGCGTGGGCGCTCGCGTCAGCGTGGGGCCTCCGGTCAGCGTGGGGCTCGCGTTCAGCGTGGGGGCTCGCGTCAGCGTGGGGCTCCGGTCAGCGTGGGGGCTCCCGTCAGCGTGGGGCTCCGGTCAGCGTGGGGCTGGCGTCAGCGTGGGGGCTGGCGTCAGCGTGGGCTGGGCGTCGACGTGGTGCGTCAGCGTGGCTGGCTCAGCGTGGCTCGGTCAGCGTGGGCTGGCGTCAGCGTGGGGGCTGCGCGTCAGCGTGGGCTCGCGTCAGCGTGGGGGCTCGCGTCAGCGTGGGGGCTCCGGTCAGCGTGGGGGCTCGCGTCAGCGTGGGCTCCGGTCAGCGTGGGGCTCGCGTCAGCGTGGGGCTCCGGTCAGCGTGGCGCTCGCGTCAGCGTGGGGCTCAGTTCAGCCTGGCGCACACGTCAGCGTGGGGCTCACGTCAGCCTGGCGCACACGTCAGCGTGGCGCACACGTCAGCGTGGGACTCAGGTCGCGTGGGCTCACCAGGTCGGGCTCATGTCGCGTGGCGCCACAGTCAGCGTGGGGCTGGACTCAGTCAGTGTGGCTCACCAGTGTGGGGCTCACGTCAGCGTGGCGCTCACGTCAGCCTGGCGCACACGTCAGCGTGGGGCTCACGTCAGCGTGGCGCTCACGTCAGCGTGGGCTCAGTTCAACCTGGCGCACGTTCAGCGGGGGCTCATGTCCGCGTTGGGCTCGACGTCAGGCGTTGGGCTCACATCAGCGTTGCGCTCACGTCAGCCTGGCGCACACGTCAGCGTGGGCTCACGTGCCGCGTGGCGCTCACGTCGCCTGGGTCACGTCGTCTGGGCTGGCCACCCGTGGCGCTCACGTCAGCTGGCGTTCACTCAGCGTGCGCACACGTCCGCGTGGGGCTCGCGTCAGCCTGGCGCACACGTCAGCGTTGGGCTCGCGTCAGCGTGGCGCTCACGTCAGCGTGGCGGTCACGTCAGCGTGGGGCTCACGTCAGCGTTGGGCTGTGGCACTCACGTCGCCTCCGCGCACCGGTGCCGCGTGGCGCTCACGCAGCGTGGCGCTCACGTCAGCCTGGCCCACGTCAGCCTGGCGCCCAGGGGTTGGTCAGACGCCCGTCTGCGCGTCGCTGTGGAGCCGCGTTCTAGGTGAGATTAACGCTCAAATCAGCGGCCTTTGAGTAGAGCCGCTTGCCCCGCGCCCCCGTGGACGGGCGAAGCCGGGTTTCCGGGAAGGCCTCTGCCTCCCGCT